CCTGGGTGTTACAGCGAGACTCTGTCTCAAAAAAGACTTTAGTAAAAGAAAACTCAAAATTGCCTTATCTGATTGTCTGTTTCACAGAAATCCACCGAGATAAAATCAAGTGCCATAAAGAGAAAGTTGTGGATGGTCATTATTTTTATAGCAAATGAATACTGTAGCCACCAGTAATTTCATTAGTTAAAAAAGGTTGTCAGGGCCAGGCGAGGTGGCTCACGCTTTCAAATCCCAGAGCTTTGGGAAGCTGAGGCAGAAGGATGGATTTAACCCAGGAGTTCAAGACTGGCCTGGGCAACATGGGGAAACCCTGTCTTTACTAAAAATACAAAAATTAGCTGGTACGGTGGCGCGAACCTGTGATCCCAGCCACTCAGAGGCTGAGAATTGCCCTCCAGCTTGGGTGACAGAGCAAGATTCCATCTCAAAAAAAATAACCAAAAAAAGAAAAAAAACCCCAGACTGCTCTGAAATTCTTCTAAAGAAAATGCCTGACAGGAAATGACTAAAGGATTTTATGGGCTTTTATAGTGGTTATTTGGAGATGCAGTTGTGTCCCTAGAGACACAGTCAGATCAGAGACGGGGTTCATTCAGCGGCACCCCCCAGAACTCGGAGAGTCCTCAGCTTCCACATTCCTGTTGTGACGCGCCATGGCCACCAGGGGGCAACAACACACCACTGTTCCAGCCAAGGGAGCGGCCAGGGAGAGCTTGGTCCTGGGGTGTCCCCGGAGCCACCTAGACCTGCTGGTTCCATACAGGAGACCTCCGGGTGGGATCGGGGAGAGACACCCCACATTCAAGGGGGAGAAAAGCATGGAACGGGCACAGAGGCAACATATTTCTTCCCACTTGTGTAATTTAAGCTAAAGCCAAACAACTAGAAAATAGAATACTGTTTTTTGGAGATGGAGCCTGGCTCTGTCACCCATCTGGAGTGCGGCGGTGCGGTCATAACTCACTGCAGCCTCCGCCTCCCGGGTTCAAGCGGTTCTCTTGCCTCAGCCTCCTGAGTAGCTGGGATTACAGGCATGCCCCACCACGCTCAGCTATTTTTTCTA